TAGAGGTACACTGCTAGAATAAAGCTCTCAGATTACTCTAACTTGCTTTTACTGAGAAGAGCCACTGTGGGAGCCTGCAGGGCAACGAGTGACTGACTTCCATATGCACACAGCTGTCCTAAGTAGAGTCAGGGTTATGTGTGAAGTTTATGTGTCACTAGGCATCTTTCACACTATTTGGCCTCAAGATTATGTCTAATTTATTTAACACATACTTTGGGCTGCCTCTATTTAATGGAATTGGTTTTCAGTAATATCAATTTAATGTATCTATATCTAGTTTCCAATTGCCAATATTGGCTATCTTGGAAAGCTGTCAATGGAAGTCCTATTTATAGAATACCATGATATTTGTGGACGTTTGACCTCAACCCGTCATTCCCATATAACCCAAGAGCCCCAGAATGCCTTCTTTCAGTTTCTTACCAGCTAAATGATTAAATTTTAGAATGGTCAGGTTTAAATGGGGTTGAGAAGGATGGGGAAGCAGAAATATTTCACATGCAAATAGGAAAGGGGGAAATCCATAATGAAGTCTTAATACGATACTAACACCAGGCCAAACAATGTGGGAATTTCCTGCTGGATGTGGGAGTACGAAGTTTGCTAAATTAAGGGAGGGAAAGAATTAGTTGGGCAAGCCACAGGTCCCCAGACATTGATGAGCCCATGGTGGAAAGTGTCTACTTCGGAGGATTTCAACCTGGTTTTCCCAAGTTGTTGTTGTTGTTCTTCTTTGTCTTTTTTTTTTTTTTTTTTTTTTTTTTTTTTTTTTTCCAGACAGGGTTTCTCTGTGTAGCTTTGGAGCCTGCCCTGGCACTCACTCTGTAAACCAGGCTGGCCTTGAACTCACAGAGATTTCCCTGTCTTTACCTCCTGAGTACAGGGATTAAAGGCGTGTACCACCAAAGCTCAGTGAGTTCTTCATATTTTATTTCTTCAAACTTCATTGCCTAGGACCACACCTTTTGGAACTTAAATTTTGTGCAAGCAGGACATTGCTGATGCTGCATCTGTTCAATTGAAGGGGAATTCGAACTGCCAGGCAAAGGTTTTCATCCCTTCCCCATCAAGGACTCCCCTAGACTGCCCAGTAGAATTGAAACCTCTACTCACACTTGTGGTCTCATTCATGTGAAAATGAGCAGGGGAGAGGCCATGGAGGTGCTCTCAGTCACTGATACTTTAAGATAACAAGGGAATGATTTCATCATCACTTGTATTCCTAGGAGGTAGTTTTCATGATAAGTGCCACACACAAAAAAAGAGATTTTTAGACCATGTCATTTATTCTTCATCCATTGTTGCATATCATTTTGTGGAGTGAACAAAGGAGTTGGGTACCATCTCCTGGTATCTATGCTCTTCATCTTAGAGAAGATCCCCATTTAGAAGAGATTATATACCTTCCCGAGTGGAATAACACAAGTACTTGAAAGATAGGTCAGGTGAATATTGATGAGGATGGGAGAGAGAAGCAGACTGGCTTGTTGAGGATAGCAAACAGCAGTTCCATTCTTGTCTTTGGTCAGGAGCTGGAAATGATCTCTGGTCTGTCTGGGTGGAGGCCAGAGATGTCACAAAGTAGCTGTGATTTTTAACCTGGGTTCTTGTTATCTCTCTTTTCCTAAATGAGCTCCTCTTCCTGGAGGCTACATGTGAGGGTGTGACTGAAACTACAGTCTAGACACTAGTTCCTTCTGGTGAACAGCTTTGGAAGTGAATTTTAACCCACCCATAGCCTAAAAGTTTTTAGGGTCTGGATTCTTGATTGGGAGAAGTCATAGTAGTCTTGGAGGCCATTGAGGCTTTGTTGAGGCCCACTAAAGAAAAGTTATTTCTTTCTGGTCAAAAGACTGGAATCTCTCTTTGGCCCTGGGTGGAGACATGCCATTCTGATCTTTTCCAAAGATTAGAATATTGCATCCCATTGTCTCCTCCATTAAGAGTTAGTCTAGCTGGGCCTAGCAGTCACCTCACCAAGAGACCACCCCTCAGGAAAGATGACTCACTTAAAGGCATGCAATGGAGATGGGAGGAATAATTATCCCTTCAATGAGCTCATGTACTTAGCTCTCTCAAAACTCTTCCCCTATGTAGTAGTTTGCAGAACCACATCACATAGCACTGAAGTGGTCTGACGACTTTTCTGAGTCATTCTAGGACACTCTGGGTTTTGTCAGAAGCCCCCATCCTCTTCTGCAATGAGGCTGCTTATCTGCCATGTGGCTGCTTGCTGACTTCCATTGTCCATTGACCCTGTCTGCCTCCTTAAAGGCCTGGCTGTCGCACTTTCTATTCGCCTTCTTCCTGGCAACTGTCACAACTTGTAGCTTGTCTGGTTAATTATTTTTCTCTCAAACAAACAAACAAACAAACAAACAAACAAACAAACAAAATGCCCTTGGGCTTCCTTTTAAGTCTGTTTCTAAATTATTTTACTAATGAGACTATGACCCCAAAGATGGAACCCCACTTTCCCTAGGACCATTACTTTTTACCAGGTACATATCGATCCTAAGCAGTGTCCTTTCTTACTCATCTGCTTCTTGCAAACAGTAACAGTGTTGAAATACATTATTAGAAAACAAGCCATGAAGTTTTTAGTTTTCATTAAAAAAACAACAATTTATTGAAAAAGAGTAATGCTTTATACAAGTTCCCACCACAGCTCCCAAATATCATCAATCAGTCTGTTTCCAGGTTTGGTAGTAGGATATAAAAATATCAATACTGGGTAAGTTCTGACATCAAACTTCTATGGGATTATTCTTGGAACATAGAACTCTACGTAGTTTGGCAAGTGTTATTTGTATGCATTTACATTACCCATCATTAGGAATCATAATTGTGGCAAAAGATCTTTGTATGATTACTTTTACACATGGAAATACAGGAAAACTTACATAGTTGAAGCCCACATGACTCCATTCTTTATATAACCTCCTCCATGTGGTTTTACCATGAAGGATTCTTAATGTCTCCTGGAACTACTAGCTTCCATCCAGCTCTGAAAGTACCACTTCATGAAGAGCACTTCATGCCCTTTAGTGCCCACACTGCCAGTTTCCTCCATTATATTTGCTTAGTCGAAGACTACAGAAACTAAGATGTGATGGGGGATAGGGCTCATGCATGTCATCTCAACAGCTGGAAAGCTGATGCACAAGGATCTTTGGATGACATAGGAGTTCTTGGCTAGCTGGGGCCACAGAGCAAGACACTGCCTCAAACAATAAAAAACTTTGAAGACTCAAGATCAGTTTAATTTAGTGAGCTTTAGTAGCTCATTGTTTGAGAGACTTGTTAAGGAAAGAAACCCAAGTAATACTTTTCTCTTTCCAGTTGTTTGAAAACTAAACACAAAACCTATTCACTTAAATTCCTTAATGACTCTACAGCAACACGTTTCCCATCATAAAACCATGTTTGCATGTGTCCCCTCTCAAATCCTGTGACATAGGCATGGCAGGAGTTAATGAACTCGTTGTATAGATGTAGCAATACATTTAGGGCAGCCAAGTGAGTCAGTCATTAAGTGATAGCACCGAGATTCAAATCGAGGTCTCAAAATGTCAATGTCAACACCCTTTCCATTGCATCATCTTCTCGGCTGAAGGGCCTTTCCTCCAGATTAGAATAGTAAGCGCATTTGTCAAAATGAAAGCACCAAGCAGAGGCCAGGCACAGCTGAAGGGGAGGAAATAGGCTCATGAAAAAAGAAAGATACAGAGCAGTGTGAAGGCGTGTGTGTAGATTTTATTCAATGACTTCAAAACTGCTAATTGAGCAAGGAAAAACACTACTTAGGCATATTTCATGTTCAAAGAATGAGAGTCATATCAACTAATTAATACTCGCATTACCTCTACCAGCTGGTTAAGTGTAATTATCCCAATTTGACAGATGGGAAGAGAGGTATAAAGACTGTAAATTGCTCACAGCTACAGAGAGATTATTTCTCACTGTATTATCACTCCTGCAAGTCTAGCACTTTATGCAGATAAACAGACCACACCTCTCTGGGAAGAGCTAAACCATACGATAATTATACGTGAGAAAACAAGATAGCTGAGGAAGGAAGAAAAAAAAATGTAGTTTGCAGGATATGGAATGGTGAATAAGTACCCTGAAAAATGCAATCGATAAAACTGTTCCAACAACAGGGTTAGCAGTACCGCCACTCAGCGAAACAAATATTTTCAAAGCAAACAAGAAGGCTACAGACCAAAGTGCAGGGACTGTCGGGGAAGGTCAGCAGAAACATCACCTGTCCAGAAGATTTGCTCTCACAGCTCAGAAATGGAAGTGCTAAGTGATTTGTGCTTGCTTTAAACTTCAAGTGTGGGCTGTGACATTTGTTATTATATTCAGGAGTTAGAAACAAACCTCAAAGTAACAGGCTGAAAAAGCAATTGCTGTTAGAGTCAAACAAAATTTAAATATTTTGCTGTGAAGAATACACGTGGGAAAAGGGACAAAGTTAGAGTCGATAAGGAAGTTTGGTCTTATGGCAAGGACACTAAATGCTGATTAAAGACGTGATATTTGACTGATCACATATGTTAATAGAGAAAAAGAAAAATATATCAGTAGGCTTGTTTAGACACTATGGGATTGTCTATATTTTTAGAGTCATTTTAAGCATGCTGGAACCAATCATAAGGAGAATAAGAAGAGGTTTTCAACTGTCTATGTTTTAATAGAAAATATGTATATATACATATTTATACACACTTAAGGAGCACCCTTCCCCCGTTTGAGTGGGATTACTCAGTGGGAAGCAGTAGTTCAAATGCAAAGGCTTCCTTCCTGTACTCAGGAAAGATGTTAAGGCACAGCCAGGCCCCTCATAGCCACAGGGATGTATAAAAATATGCTTCCTTTTGTTATACCACAGTTCAGATAACCATAGTCAACAGTTTAAGGCCTCAATGTCAATACTAGTTTCAATGTCCATTTTGTATTTGCTTCAGCAGGTTCTCTTCTCTTCACCTCTGTCACACGTAGTCTTTCCCACTAGAAGGTGTTGGCTTGGGATAAGGCCGTGGTGTTGGGTAAGAGGTTGTTTTCCGGGGACAGGAGCAAGAAAGTAGGGCACCTCCCAGGAGGCAAAGGGAGGCAGCAGCCCAGCCAGTGAAGAGGGCCTGGCCAAATTCATACCTGAAAGAAAAGACAGCAATGTGCTGCTATGAGGATCATTGGCAAAAGAAGAAAATCAAATAACCCCCGTGATCCCTCAGGAGCTGCTGCTTGTGAGCACATCCATGGAATAATGTTTACGCTGTAATTATCAATAATTTGAAGCAACACATCAGCAATACAACATGCAATACACCAGTTTAATTACACAAGGATTTCCAAAGACCTTTCAAAGCAAAAGAGGCTTTGGAAAGGAGGTTTAGACACTTGAGAAGCGAGGACTGGGCCACAGTCCTAGATTATTGCTTGTGAAGTCTACTACCCTCAAATAGTAATCATTTCTGTAATAAAACTTATTAGTGATCTGATAGCCTAGTTAAATTGTATATTGTGAAAGAAAAGTATCTGAATATCTCATGGCTGATTCCAGGTTAAACAAGGCCAGATGGACATATTAACCCACATTCTCGGGGTGAGAAACCTGTGGCGGACTATGCACATCACACAGAGAAAAGGGCTGGCTATAGAAGTCACAGTTCTGATGCAAGCTCAACTACTGCAACTCTGGGCCGGCAGCTTTACCTCTCCCCCATGGTTTCCTCCCTGGAAGCAGACTGTCTCACTTGCTTCCCTGGAGGTGCTCAGGATAATGTGCTATCATATGATAACAAGTACCCAGAGCCTGGCAATTTATAAAATGCTTTCTCGTGTACTCCTCTAGCATTATTACTCTGCTGAAAATGTGGCCCACTGAGTTTCAGCAGTTTCTGTCCCTACATCATAAATCTTACAGGATGGGCTAGGCTCCAACAACTGCTTTAGCCTATGTTCTTCTGTCCCTGGGTGACTGTAAAAAGACACACATTTATCTCTGCAAACACTGGGATTTTTCATTCGCTCACCCTAGCACACACACAAACAGTAATTACATCTTAACATTCTGGCTTTGAATGTAGTTATTAAGCTTTATAGATGGGAAGACAGTGAGACAATAAGTCTTGTCCCTGATCAAAGAGCATTGTTACCTGAGAGCCAAGACTCAGGTCCTGAACTTGCAAAACTTGAACTATTAAAGAAAGGTGACCCTTGTAAAGTCAATTTTATAGTAGTAATGGAACACAAAATTTTAAAGTGGCATCTGAATGTACTAGAAAAATACATCATGTCTTCAAGTGCAAACTATTGGGAATGAAGCACTATTTGTTAACCACTATGGTGCTTCTATTTTTTTCCAATAAATCATGAACCTGTATATTAATTATAAGTGATCATAGGTACTAGAACCATCATAATACATTTCAAGAAGAACATGTCCAATACACTAGTGTATTTGTTCATATGTGGTGAAGAAAAAAGATGTGATATATTTTTGGCTATAATCCAGCTTAGAATATTTGTTCTTTGAAGTGCATTTTGTCAGCAGTACTGGCTGGTAAAGCAATTAAAAAGCTTAGAATATTTGTTCTTTGAAGTGCATTTTGTCAGCAGTACTGGCTGTTAAAGCAATTATCCAATTCATTTTAACATGAGTCACAGGTCATTTAAATTGTTTGCAAGTTTGACATCAATTTCCATACAATTCTTGAAAGCAAATCTGAGAAACTAAGGCATTGGCAGGAGTCTGCTGAAGACAAAAAGGGTTGTTTTTCAGAGAATGGGCTATTTTATGCATGACTAACATTACCTGGCATTGACTGGGGTCATGGGGTCATAGAATTCTTGAACAATTCTATTTCCATACCATGCTGTGGCCACTAAAATCGACAGACCTACAGAAATTCAAAGCAAAGTCATTAATCACGATGGGACACTGAGCATAAAAAACAAAAAAAACCCCACGGACTATTAAATCCAATCGTATTCTATAAGAATTGAAATCTCATCAAGGGTGCTGACATTTTATTTTATTATTATGGAAATCAATTTGACTTAGATATGATTTATTCCAACTGTTCTGCAAAGAATTACAAAGAAATTAGATTGAAGCTGGGCCTAGATTATGTTATTTGTGACATCTCTTTTTATTTATACTCCCAGGCCACTGGCACAAATACTATTCTTCAGGAACAATGCAACTGGTCCATCTTTTTCAAAACCTCTGTCAAAGGTTCTGCAGTACTATAGTTTAGTGTATGAAACTACTTTTGGGGAAAAACAAACAAAAAAAAATGTTTGTTAATATTAGCAGAGAACTGCTTACAAAAGGTAAGATGAAAATCCTCCTGCATTTTTCTCGACAAATTTAAAATTGATTTTTTGGCTTGGGTCCAGCAGCAAAACCAGAACCAACTATCACAGGAAGTAGAGTCTCTCACAGAATGAGCCAGAGCACCCAGATTCTTCCTGTCCCAGGTTTAAGGCAATATCTAATATTGCAATCATCTGGTCAGGTGACACACTGGATTGATTTATATAACCGAACTCAATTGTTCATGATATTTTGTAATCAATAATGGAAGGAAATGAGTTGGGCAATGTCACTCATTCCAGTGTTTAAATGATGTCTAAATTATACAATTTATTTTTATCTAAAGAGATATTTGTCAAACGAAACAAACTTTCAAGTATAAAATAAGAATAAGTTTGAGGAGAAGGAAAAAGAGAAGGGGGAGGAGGAGAAGGAGCAGGAGGAAGAGGGGGAGGAGGAGGAGGAGGAGGAGGAGGAGGAAGAGAAATGCTATATTAATAGTTGAAAAGTGTTATTCCAACAGAAATAATATTTGAGACAAAACATACATACAGCTTAATTTATCCATTGTAGAATACATCTACATTTCAAAATACCAGGATTCATATAATAAATGCACATACAACTGTCAAATCTAAAATTAGTTTAAAAAGAAAACAAGTAGCTTTTTTTATAGTATTTGATGGTATGTAAGATCACTCTAGCAGTTTGTGCAAATCATGTACATACTCTTCAGTTGGCCACCTGGACTCCTGAGGATATCCTGGATTGCACTGAGAATCATGTACATCTGTGGTGTTTATGGGAATCATGGGGATGGGTGTGGTACAATACAATACAGTCTTTGATGTAAAGTTAAAAATTAGGAATAAAAATGTATTCCTTTCAGGTAGGAGCTAATTGGTGTTTGAACAAACTAAGTATCTGGTCACTTTAACCACATCTTTACCAAAGTCATACTCTGCCCCTATTACTGGCTAAGTCCACAAACTATGCTGGATGTTAACCCCGCCCCTAGTCTTCTGCCAATAGGAGAAATAAAGAGATAAAATCTTATTCTCATTTTTAGTAGTAATATAATCAATGTAATCAATTATTACATACATACAACATGTGAGATCTATACAATAGCCTATTGCTCAATCTATGTATTATATAGTGCATACATATGAAAATAATCAATAGCATATCTATAATATAATATTTACCATATTTAAAATATCCTCAGAAAGTTCTGAAATGGTGTCCATCATCTAGATTTCTTTGTTTCTCAAACATATATCCTAACATGTCAGTCAACATTTGAATATAGCAGAAAATGTTATTTGTTTTCTGTGGAACACATAACCTATTTTGTCAATAGTTTTCAAATCCTTTTCTGCAGTTGTCTTCCTTAGCTCAGCTAACCATACACTCTACCTTGTCAATATTCCACCTGCTACACTCCAGTGAACCTATCTTCTCTCTGATCCATTGGTACATCATATTTATTGTAGAATTAGCTCTGCCCATCTACAATGTTACCTTTGCCTTTCTCTACTACCTCCAATCTCGTCTTTCCCAATCCAGCATCATTCTCATTCATATTTTATCAGCGTGCCTTATGTTCTGTACCTAGATATATCAAAACAATTAACATTTTCTAAGTTTCTTTATAAAGTGGGGTATGTGTTTGTGTGTGTGTGTGTGGATTTATGTGGCTGAGGCTGGCCTTGAACTCCACATTTCCCTGCACTCATCTCTCTCAAGTTGGGATCACAGCCATGTACCACTACTGCCAAATAGCGTATTCTGAATCACATAAAATTGGTCCAGACTCTTGCTAAGTATCAAACAACTTTCTGAACCTAAAGCGACTGGGCCTAAGAAACAAGTGGGCATCCGAGTCCTTTGTGGTTGTACCTGACAAAAGTGCCCACACGTCAACTTTTTATTTGATTTTTACTGAGAACATGAAAGCCAACTGACTGTAAGGCCCTGGAAATATCTTACAAATAATAAGATGCTTAAAAACCATCCAAGTACAATGAATCTAGCATAAACTCAAGAAACTGAACACTAGAAAACTAGACTTCAAACCACACTTGAGAAAAGTCGGTAAGAAAGAATCGGAGGGCATCTCTTACCGGAAGTGATAAATATCACACCCCCAATGACAGCCATCCACATCTTCTGCACCTCATCGTCTTCCAAGCACTTCATGCACTTCATGCCAATGGTGGACACAAAGATTGCGATCAGCCCTAGAAGAATGCCGATCACCATCAAGGCACGGGTGGCCTGCAAAGTACCTGAGAGGAAACATTCAGGACATGTAAAAATCTTGCCTGGACAGTAGGAGAAGAGTGGTGGCAAATGAACTAGCTCAGTCTTCTTCAGGAAGGAGAAAGGTGAACAAGGAGTCTGAAGGACAAAGAACTGTAGGCTGTAGCCACCAACTGTTGTTAGGGAGATGAGCAGAGAGTCAGGGAGATGGCTAGGACTTCAGTTATTAAACTCAAAATCACCTGAAAAATAATTAATGAACCAGCTGAATAGGTCTCACTGAATTGAATATGTAATCATTACTACCTGGGTATTTAGATTCTGAACTAACAGTCATACATATTATTCTTAATGGTCACCATTTGTAATTAAATGGCTCAAAATACATGCTTAGTATTAGTCACTACTTGTAGACTACAATCTTTAATCTTCATTAAAAAAGTAAATATGAATGATAAATGATATTTTCAGAGATGATTGTGGCTAGATAAGCAATATTTTGGAGCATAGCAGTAGATTCATAGAAAATGACACCACCAGTGTCATTGTTGTAAAAACCACCAGTTTTTACAAGTACAAAATCTTCATGTTATAATGTCAGAGATAATAACCCCAACTTGTATTTCTCAGGTTTCTGCCAATTTTCTAAAGTCCCTGTTCCTATCTTTGTTGTATTGTGTTATCACTAGAGACAGGATCAGGTTTGAGAGACTGAGCCAGTGTTTCTCCTAAGAAATAAAAGCTGAAAGCCAACATTATGGTATAACAATATAGTGTGTGTGTGTGTTGGAGGGGGGTGTGAGTACACTAATTAGGAGACCTTTAAATTACAGATTCATTTCTTCTTTCAACTGAACATCATCATCTTACTTACAGTCTTAGTACCTAAAATGGTAGGTTGTATATGGAGATATTTACATCTCAACAAACTAGGATCTTGGAAAAACTACCTAATATTCTTTAGGACCATGTCAGTATTTTATGAAATATGAAGGAATGAGTGAGTTAGAACAGTTTGCTCCTTGTTAGTGTTCAGAGGTGACACTGATAATGACAGCATTAATATTTAATGTGTACACAGGATTAGTCTTCACATGCTCAAGACTGAGCAGTTAGGTTACCAATCTCAATTCCACACAAACAACTCCGGAACACCATGTCATTTTCCCTTACACCCATTTCTATTCTTGTTATCACAATCAACGGCAGAATTACATTAATTCCTCTCTAAATCATATCAAATGTATTTTCACAGTATTTCAGTGATATTTAGCAGCAATTTTTACTGTCATCAAAATGCAAAACAGTACAATCTCTGCTTCTTCCGTCATATTCATCTTCTCGTAAGTGGACAGTAAGCACATATGCACACCTCTCTGGCATTTATCACAGGGTTCCAGAGTAACAAAGGAACAACCGGATCAAAGCTATGTTCCACACCTCTGGCTTTACTAGGAACTAAAGCTGTTCACATGACCAGTAGAAAACTTTCCTTGGAATCACAACCCCTGCTGTGAAATAAAGAGGAAAGTCCCAAGGACTCTCAGCTAAGGTATTTACTTCCTTCTCATTTATCAGCAATAGTTTCAAGGGGAGCTGCTTCCTTACTAGGAAAATGAAAGACTAGATAATTATGTTCTTATAAAACACAGATTTCAGATTTGATTCCAATGTTCAGCTCAGAAGGAAAGCATTTGGGGAAGATTCTGTAGTCAATAAAGGAATCCATGTATCTGACTGGAGGAGAGTGTGACCTCCCCTGCTGGCTCGCCCAGGCTACTCAATATTTTAAATGAAAAGTCCAGCATCCTAAGATGCCCTTGGATCCTGAGTAAACTGGGGCAACTGGTTATCCTATGTATAAATGAGATGGTGGAAAGTGCAATGACATTTATCAAGGTTGGCAGAAGGCACACACACACACACACACACACACACACACACACACACACACACACACACACACACACGTGTATGTCACCTGTGTGTGTGTGTGTGTGTGTGTGTATCATATATACATACATATGCAGACATACACACATACACATACACCATATACATTAGAGTGTCATTGGCCACAGTCAGCAGTTCAGAGTCTATTCCAAATGTAATGAGAAGTCATTGGAGGATCCTAAGGTGGGGTGACTTGACTCTTACCCTGAGTGAAGGAACAATATAATTAAAAAACACTAATGTTATAGTAGCCCTTCACAGAGGTATACAGCCTCTTCTGTCTCAGACACCGCCTCTTTATTTTGTCACAATTCATTTATTTATCAACTCTCTGTGGATGATTTCCTTGGGGTCTTTGATCTCTCTGGAAATTGGGCCTGTTACAGAGCTCCCACACAGACTTGGTTCATATAATAGTCATTCTAATCCACTCATGAAGTCAAATCACAGGCCACCAACTCCACAAATCTGAGCACTGGGCACAAGACATCCTTCAGGAGTAGCTTCCTGAGTATCACTCTCAAGGACCAAGGAGCACCCAGATATAGCCATTGGATCTGCCATCTACCTCTGCTCACAATCATCAAATATTCCCAAATTTTTCATCTTTAAACTACCAAGAAGGCATCTGTGCTTCATGCCATTATTTTATTATTTTTATTTTTATTTACTAGTTTGGCAAAGTTAAGAAGAAATGGCAGATATTCTAGCTCATGCTTGCTAACAACCCTACAATTCTTTCTTTCTTATAGAACAGTGTGTCCAACATACAGACATGGAGCCAAAGGACAATATATTTCACAGCCACACAACTATAGAGATGAGGGGCCTTATTTTCATTTTAAAACTTGATAAAGTAGTACAAAATAAGAATGTTGGTTGGCAAAGCAACATTTTCTGTTTATACCTGGAAGCCATAGAGTTATGAATTATCCTGTTTTATATTAGGCTGGCATCAAATGGAGACATCGATAACTCTTAACCGTAACGATATGTGCAGAATGTATAAAAATAATTCAAGCTTTCTCACACACTAAAGACAATGGTGGAAAATTGTAACAGCTTGAAAGTTTACTAATTGGGCACCTGTAATGATGGATTCCAAATGAGGCAAAGAAACTATTATCTTAAGGTTGTGACAGCTTTGTGTGAAGATCCATTTTAAATTGGAGTTTTCAGCTGGACTAGGTGAATTTCTTTTTCCCAATGATGGCCTTATGGAAGCCATTTGAGTGAGAGGCTTAAGTGTGAGCTGCTGCAGTTGGAGGGTTTCAATCTGAAGTCCTGCTCATACTTCAATCTGTTCTCAGTGAGCTTGGACTAGAAGGATGTCTTTGGTCTTCAAAACTGCTATGTCATATAGAAAGCACATACTGATGTTAACTAAATCTTCAAGATCATACACTTATTTGACAGACACCTCCTTTGAAGGTCTGGGTTTTGGTATGTAAAGCTAAGCTTAAGTTAGGTTACAAAATGCTAGAAATTCATGCAGAGGGGAAAACTGGACTTTCCCCCTTAACTTGACACAGTTTTTAAGTTCTCTATTTAAAGAACTCTTGTGATGGTGTTTTTCTTTCTTTCTCTCTCACCAAAATGAGGAAGGCAGAACATAGAAGTTGCTAGTGGGGTATGAATGCTACGAAATAATATTTGGAGCAGAAACGAATCCATATACTATTGCACTACACCTAGTAGCACTTGCAATTCTTTCTTGGCCCTCTAAATTTGTTGCTAGCTCTATAACATTTTAACTAAAGGTGTGTGTGGAAAACCTGACTAGCAAATTTTGGAAAAGTAACACTATTGTTTCTGGGCATTATCCGGCAGTAAACAGGAAGGCAGCCTTTTAATTACACTCAGCTAGATTGAAAATCTGCAGCTTATAAAGACCCCCTAGGGAGTTCTCACCACTCTCAACCTGAAAGTATAATTAAAAAAATACTTACAAAGATCTCTACTTAGAAGACAAGAAATGAGTTAGACACTATCCTTCTGCTATAGTTATTTTAATCAAAGTTTGCAAAGACAAGCATAGACAGGCAGGGATTTTTTCCCCCCTAAACTTTAAAGACATGTTCTCCAAGCAGTAGAATCCCCATGAGTACTTGGCTCTGCGCTATACCCTATTACCATTCCTACCCTATGTTCCATATATCATGAGCAAGCCAGATTTTAATGGTATTTCTGCCCCCACACAGTCCTAATACGTCTCGCGGGATAAATAAAATAACTGCCTGCTGTGTGTCTAGAGCAAAAATCCCCTTTCTTTTTCACAACTAAATGAGCTTATGCCAACTGCCAGAGTACAGTGCTGTGGAGTGGTTGATTATTACAGCCTTCACTGCTGCATTTCTGTTCCACAGGTGCATGAGCTGGTGGGCAAAGTGTGCCGTCAGCACAGAAGTTCAATCTGTGGTCCAAGCGGTTGGGGAGGAGGAGGGCTTGCTTGGTACCTCTCAGGGAATCCTGAGAAGTTTTGCCATCCATCTCTCTCTCTCTCTCTCTCTCTCTCTCTCTCTCTCTCTCTTCCCTCCCTCTCTCTCTCTCTCTCTCTCTCTCTCTCTCTCTCTCTCTCAAAGCATAACATTGAGTTTTTTAAAATGCCTCAGTATTAAATGCATGTCCTGTATTACTGTTTCCATGGCACTATTTTTTTTAGTAAAATGAAATTGCATCATTTTCCACTGTCCTTTCCTCCTCTCTCCAACCTCTCCCACTCACTCCTCACCTCGAATAACTTTTTCCATGACACTTAATTATCACTCCGATCTAGGAAACCTGTGCTCTGCTGCTTGCTTTTTCTCCTTTAGTCACTGAAGTTAGTATCAAAGAAAGCTGACACTGGCTAGGGTCTTTCCTGCATTCCTACAAGTGAAAATAGAGCCAGGCTCAGAGATGAGTGGGCCTTTGATCCATCCCTCTATTCCTCCTACTCTGCCCTGTTTTCCAAATGCTGAATCCACCTTAGTCTAGGGAGATCAAGTAGCTCTCCCTGGATAGTGCTAATTGGAGCAGGAACTCAACTTGTTTTCACTTTGAGCCATGACTCTGGCTTCATTTTTGTCTCACTCTTCGAACTCATAGATTTTTTTGCATGTTCACTTTTTTTTCTTTCTTTCTTTTTTTCTTTTTCTTTTTTTTCTTTTTTTTTTTTTTTTTTTGCAGCACTAAAGAGTCCGGAGAAGCCTCAGTGGCTGCTGTCCTTTCTACCTGTGCCGCACACACAGACATCCATGTCAGTGATTTTGCTCCTCTGATGGAGCCTGACATCATGGTGAGAGTGCTGAGAAACCTCATGACAACCAATACTCATTAAGCACACCTCCACACATGTGGATTCATGCAGAGCAAGTTCAACAGGCTGGGGTAGCTTATAAACAAATTACAGAAGTTCAGGGCTAGATGAGACTTAAAGAGAGTCTAGCATAACCTCCCATTTGTCTGGTGCTTGGATCTTCAGAACAGCATTCCTACAAAAATGCTTACTTCTTCTCTGCTTTGATACCTCCCAACATGCAGCCTCCTGGGAAAGCCCTGTCTTCGGACACTCCTGGCTATTAAAGTGAAGCAAACAGAAGCAATTAGCTAAACAGGCAACTGGCTTCCCATAATGTTGGGAATTCAAACAAAACCAAGGGAGATGTGGAAAGTGGATCAGGAAAAGACCACTAGAACTGCACCTGGCCCTCTCCTTTATATGTCTAAATTTCAGCTGTAAGGGTCATCACTCTAGATAAATATCACACGTAGGCATATGGAAACGGTCTTGACTGTTATCGACCATAATTCACAGTGTAACATTGTTTTCTCCAGGAAATTTATCAGCTACATTTCCACAAACAGTTTGGCCAAAACTACATACAATACGGCCTTCTTTCAGCTGTATACAGTGGTTCTCTATCTGGTATAATAATACTGCTTCATGCACATAGTGTGTAAAGGTCATGTGGTTTTCACAACTGATACCAGATACAACAGAAGCCACCTGGAATGTCTTGTTATAAAACACTGACACACTATCTTGATACTTAGGTGAGGTGGGCTCTGCTGGCAAAGCTTGGAGCACAATTCTAGGAAACCCACAGCCATGCCTCTCACCTCAAAGCATCCCATTAGACGTACCCTTCACAAAGCATACTACTCACACACACACGCAGAATGAACCTTTTCATCTACAGGCGTCAGGGAACTACACCAAAACCGGCCAGTGAATCACCAACCAGATCCCTTCATTGGGTGGGCGTGAACACCACAGCTCAGGTGCAGAAACAGAGACAAGTTTTCTGGGCCTGGTCCAAAGGCACCTAATGAGTGAATCATTGCTCAGCTGGGAGAGAAGATGTGAGTCAAGGCTCACACTTCTGGGAATTGGTTTGGGGATAGAAGCTCCTGGACTCCATCTTGAATAAATTATGACTTTAACCAAAACAGAAGATGGAAGCTGTTCTCCGCCAAAACAAATCAATTTCTGAAAATGCTTGTGATGGAAGGATATTTACTACTTTTGAAACACTTTAAAGAAATATAATAACCATATTAGCAAGGGATAAATTATAATAAGTCAATTTGTGTAGTGTTCTGGATAGGGATGACTTGAACATTTGCTGCATGGACCATTATGCACCCAGCTATTTGTGGACATTCAACCTGATAAAATGAAATATTTGGATTAGAAGAACAGAGCTGGCAGGGAAGCTCTCTGGACTTGCCCATAACACATCTCACCTGCCAGCTCCACAGCACAGTTCTGAAAGTGTGGGCCTAGCGCCATTTCCTTCAATGCATTTTCTCTTTCTGCCAGTATGTTCCTTATTCCCCAATTGTTAACACCCAGAGTGTATCCAGGAGGGTAATAAGCAATGCACACTTACCAAATTTATGGAATTACTTTTGATACAGGAGTCCAGATGTGGAGACAAAATCACACTGGCTAACTAAATTCTACAGGTACTCAGGGTGTCAAGCTGATTTGTGGCAGTTCTCATAACTGTAAAATGAAGTGAACTTGCTGGGGTAGTTTAAGAACCCTAGTAGGATGGGGACAATGCCAGCACTGTTGACTCTAGCGTTCATAGAGGACTGTGAGATAGCTTTGTTTAGGCAAAGGCTAAGGGAGGTTTTCCTGTGAAATAAAGGGCGGGACAGACTCACAGGACACAAACAGTGTGATTTCTCCAGGAGGAGAGAACAGCCATGAATGGCATTACTTACCTAGGTGGGAATTTAATGGCTCTCTGATAGAGCACTCAGCATTGTTTATCTAAATGTGAAGGGGAACTTCGCATTTTATCATGTTTCCCCAGTACCTGGAGAAATACTTAAGTCTATATACTCCGTTCCCACATGAGGACTGATCCACCATTACCTGGAGATAGCTTTGTGGAAGGGAAAACATGGGAAGACCCCTTCTCCTCCTCCCAGCCTTCTTCCCAGCTGGTTTCTGCTTCTATAAGTGACACCCACGAGGCTGCCTCCTTCTGTGCCCTCGCTCTTTTCATCCAGGCCAGGTTATTCAGAACTGTTCTCCTCTGTAACCCCCTCCCAACATGCCACCAGCCTTCTTGTTCTAAACTTGCACCGCACACGCTGCCTCTTCTGCAGACCCTAGGCTGGAAAGCCAACTTTTGGGGGGAATCTCAAGAGGTTCTTCAAGGAGGAAAAGCCAAAAAGACGCAAAGATTTAACCTTAGCTGTACTTAGGAAACGCCATGAGACAAGAGTCAGAAAGTCCCTTGTTTAATATTCCTGAATCATTTACTTAACTTTGAAGGCTTGAAAACCTACCCAAAGTGTACCATTTTCTTGCCCAAACCCTATTAGAATGTGCAGAAGAGGCCCAAAAGTTCAAATTCCACTGTGGTATCCCTTCTCCCATTCTCCACCCACCCTGATTGGAATTTGAGGCTAAATCACACCCAGAAGGGCAGGTGCCAAGCAGGGACTCAAAAGGCAAATCTAGGGCTTTGACCTGAGGCCCGGATTCTTTCTGCTTTCTCACGACAGAGCACATGCTCAGAAGCCTTGACCAACTTGGAGAGGGTAAACCCGTATAATCACAGGACAGTTCCAGGATAAATGAAGCTACTGCAGAGAACAGGGGCTCCGAGGCCCAAGCGGGGGCGGGGGGGGGTGGCGATGGAGAGAGGGTTGTGAGAAGTGAGGAGCGGGGAGTGCACTCACTGTTCAGATTCAGCAAGGAGTCGAAGACTTTGCATTGTATCTGCCCGGTGCTTTGCGAAACGCAAGACATCCACAGTCCCTCGTAGATGGCCTGGGCGGTCACGATGTTGTCCCCAGCATAGGAGTAAATCTTCCACTGGGGAAGGGCAGTGCTGACGATGGAGCCGATCCATCCCAGCGAGGCCAAGATGAAGCCCAATAGCTGTAGCCCCGCGTTGGCCATGGCTCTGTCCAAGGCTCGCGTGGGCTCAGTGGCAGGTGCAGAAGGCGGAGTTTGCAAGGTGCGCACCTGGGCTCCCGAAGGTGGCGGGGTATGGGCGAGCAAGTTATTGCTAGGACCCCTGCTCCCTGTGCGGCTGCGAGCAAGGCTCCTGGCTTCTGGTCCGAGTTGGCAGCAGAGTCTGGAAGCGAGAAGTGGCAGAGTTCTCTGAGATGCAGAGCCGCCCGGCGCTGAGATTTAAAGCAGCTCCGCCCCTCCCGGCATGCAGCTCCCTCTGGCGGTTTCATGGCCGAGTCCCCACGAGGAGCGCTGGGCCTTTGCAGGCCACCTTATCCGTGGTGGGGGATGTCCTGTGGGCGACCTGGGAACCACCTGAAGAGAATCAGGCGTTCCTTCCCGCTCCCTCCTAGCTCTTGATAGGCATTTTCTTCATTTCATTCCGTAGTTACCACAAAAATTACCGTGTCTGTGTAAATCCTAAAAACAAACAAACAAGCAAAACAAAACAAAACAAAACAAAACAAAACATAAAGATGAAAAAAGGGAGGGATCCAGAAACTGATTTTCACTTTTAAAATCTTCCCAGTTTTCTATTCAAGAACACATCTAACTTCCTCCCCGCCTACTCCCCTTCTACCTCGGGCACCTTTCCTCTTGCTTGATTAACTTCCTCTCTCGTTTGGGGGTCCCTCTGTTCCCTTCTACTCTTCAAGATCATTAGGTTTCTCCCATTTCTCCCCGAGGCCTCAGAGATATTGACACTATAAATTAGGGAACTGCTACCCAGAGCATGTCACAAGGCAGGTTTCTAGCATATCCAGGACTTAGTTTCCAGTTCGGTGTGCTTCCCAGTACAATTTCAGCTGAAGGAAAAAAAAATAAGTCCTTTGAGTTTTTATCTTCCTTTTGAAATTGCCGCCCACTATCCCCTACACCCAACACACACGCACACGCGCACGCATGTACACACACACACACACACACACACACACACACACACACACACACACACACACACACACACACCTACGTTTTCCTTAAAGCAATTTGCTTAGCATAGCAACTTCTTATCTGAGGCGTCGGGCTAGGGACAAGTTATCAGATGGAATTCAGCAAATTCACCAAACAGTTCCTCCCAGGTGAAGGAATAAGCAGGGCCTGGGCTCTGCCTCTGGACCCAGCAGTGGTGGGTAAGCTGCCTCCTCAGGCTTTGCTCTAGGCAGTCTCTAGCCTCCTTCTTGGGTCTCCAAGGCTCTCTTGTTTGTTGTTCCTCACAAGTCTACGTTGTGGTTAAGAATAATTAAAATGTTTTCTCAATTGTTATTTTGTACATGGTGTGAGTGAGTACGGTGGGAAGAGAAGCTGCTAAGAAAGGGGACTTGATGTCAGAAAAAACATGAAGAAGAAACAGGGGATGCCCATGCATGCTAAGAAAACAGCAAGATTGCCAGGAGGTAGAAATGGAACAAAGGCAAAAAGCCCTACCACTCTCAATCCCAGCTGGCTGTTCTTTTCAGACCCACTTTGTCAATGCTTAGGGATAAAGACCTGGTATGCTGGGGACTTAGGGAGCTGCCATGACAAGGGAGCTTAATTAGGAGATAGTAAGATTAAAACAAGTGCTGTTCTTCTCCCAGCTTTTCCAAAACATAAAGAATCTCTAAGTAAGATCTATAGGCACCACTGTGCCAGGCTTGTGTTGCAGGCCCTCCGTCTGAAGGCAGAACTCACTGTCTGTGAGTTCCGAGGAGTATTCTCCTGGTGTCTGGTGTCTGCAGACAGATAAAAATGTCAATCATACTGCAGATATTCCCAGAAGAACCACACTGTGTGAGTCAGTGAGTCAATTTCTGCTGCTGTTTTTTTATTTTTTTATTTTTCCCCTGGAGTCACTTTAAAAAATAAGATGTGAATTTTTTAATACATTTGTTCTGGAGCCCTTTAAGCTTACATTAGGACCCATTTCTATCAAACTGCAATTGACCTGGAACTGGAGGCATGGATTCTGTTTTGTTTTGTTTTTAATCCAGGTCTGTGCAAGACTGGTTATTTCACTGCCCACAACTGTGTTTGGAAGGCTGCGTGCGGTGAGCTTCCCACTCCATGGCTCTGTGCTCACCTGGACGTCCTAATCCTGTCTAGTTTTCTGTCCCTAGCCTCAGAGCAGCAACAGATGACATAATAGCTCAGCTCAAATCCATTAATTTGAAAAGAAAAACAACCCACAGACATCAGTGTTTCATAGATGAAGCATAAGTAATAAAGGCAATAACACAGCTCCAAAGATTCTAGACTGGCTGCCAGTGGTGTGGTCACATGAAAAGTCAGCCATGTACATGTAAATTATTCTTTTTCTCTGCTTCAGTCAATAAAAGTAGGGACTGACTTCTCAGTGTTCACCTGTCTACAGCGTACACATGTAAGCCGTACACCCTTGTCAAGTGCTACTTGCCATCTCTGCAGTGCTACCTTACCTCCATTTGAAGGGAACAGAGTCAGGTGACATGGGTTACCCAATGATTGTATTTGGTAACATGCAGTGCTGGCACCCGACACTACATCTCTGCTCTGGAGCACAGCTCTTGAGCCAGTGCCCTGCATTTCTCCATAAGTACCAAGCACACTGAGGACAAGTGGCTTTCCCTCCACACCCTTTTGTGCTTTTTGGTCCAGGCAGTGAGAGATGTTCTGCTCCATGATAGTCCCTTCTGGAGTGTCCTGAGCTCTGACAAGGAGGGTTGTTGGTGCTGCTGAGGCGGGAAATGCATGAGCTAAAGAGCCCAGCAGGGATTCCTTATACTTGAGGCTTGGACTCAGTGATGATCCTGAGAGCCAGCAGAAGAGATACACATAGAGATGGAGGCAAGAGGCCAACCATGCTGAAGAGAATACTGACAAAGCCAGACAGTCCCCAGGGGCAGTGTGAGATTCTCAGAGATGATTGCTGAAAGGAAAAAAGCCTTTGGGATGCAGCACATGCACTTAGGGATGGTGTGTGCTCAGGCTCCCTTTAGAACAGTTTGGGGAGGAAAGACAGAATGGATAGACACACCACTCAACAATCTGCTATGTCAAAACTGATCATAGTTCAAATATGGTAATATAGCGTGAATTCTGGTGTTAGGATACGAAGGCTACTAACACGACAAACCATTGGCCCATGTCTAATGACACCTTAAAATAGCCTTTTGAAACTATTTGTAGCATTTGAGAGGATAAGTGGAGGGCTGTTGTTAAAAAAGTATTAGCTGCTTGTGATATGTAGTTAGATGTATGTATATGATTCCAGGGTTGACCACATGGTATTGGATAACCAATAAGAGGATTCCTTACTGGGGAGACCTGCTTTCTCCCACTCTCAGTATTCCTCAATTGCCTGGAGTTTTTTATTCAGGGTTGGAGCCCCCACTGGTGTGTTCCCCACTTCATGCTAATTCAGATAGGTCTTGTTTAGGCAGCCATGTCATTGGGACTTCCTGGCTGTAGCTTTCCTGGCATTTCTAGAAGGTGCAGTTTCACAGTAGACATCCCATTCCTCTGGCTTTCACAATTGTTCTGTCCCTTCTTCTGCAATGTCCCCTGAGCATTAGGTTCAGAAGTTGTTTTGTATATAGAACAGTTGGGGCTGGGCACCACACAATCTCTTGTTCTTACAAGGTGGGGGCTGGGAAAGAAAGGGAAATGGAGAGTGATGTAATTGTATTTTAATTTCAAAAATGGTTCTAAAGTGTCAACTTTGTGAATCTGATATGCTTATTAGAGGAATTGAGAAATTCACACATCATTGCTCTCTTTTCTATGAATCAAAGTCTAGGGTTGTGGTGGGTATTAAAAAGACAAATCCATGCAAACTGCCTAGCATATGAGAAACAAATATGAAATGGCAGTTATTATTATTTACACAGATCAGAGTCCCTACATTGTCTCACCCCGTCATTTGCAAATGATCCTCACGATCATCCAGAAAAATCCTTTCTTGCCGTAAAGTCCCATTTGATAACACAGTTCCGTCGATGACAAAATATGAAGCTCTCAGGGCTGTAGGATGGCTCAGCATAAAGTTGTCTGATGCCAAGTCTTAACCATAAATACATAATTGGAAGCAAGTTGGTGGAGCTCTGAAATCTCTGTCCCTTGCTTGTGTTTCCAGGGAAAATGTTCTTTTAATCAGGGGAGGTACCAGCAGCATCTAATTAATTTGATCATGGAATCAAGGATGTCTCTGTTGTGATATTTCACTTTGCATCCCAAGATGTAAGACCATCTATTTTAGTCAGTATACTTTAGAGAAACTAGTGGCTAGGGTGAAGACTTGTTGTTTGTGAATATTAAGAAGAGAGAGTGAATGAGAGAGTGCAAGAAAGAGACAAACAGAGGGAATGGGGAAAGAGAGACAGAGAGAGGGGAGGGGGAGAGACTGGAAGCACAGGGGACAGCATTGGTTTTGCAATTCAGAACAGAATTCCCATTGGACGAGCCCCACCACACCTGCAAGGGTGATGAGCTTCACTCTGGTCAACTGATTTAGATGTTAATCACATGCAAACAAACCTTTGACAGCCTTGTCTAGGCAGGTGTTGATCAAACAACTGTAGCCTGACCATGTGGACACCAAAAGTTAACTATGACAGTGCTCAGTGTATACGGAGTTGTTAGATTCTATGAGTTTGCTCAGTACAAAAAGAAGCCATTGATATGGGGAGTTGTCATTACCAATAAGGAAACTACAGCCATGTTTTGTCAAGTGACCTGTGAAAGAACAGAGTTGGCATCCCAATCCAGCTGGTGTGGCTTCCCAGGCAGAAGGCTTAATTCAGCTCACTCTACAAGACCCAAAGCAGAAGCTTCCCTTCCATGTCCTACCCTCCCCCTTGATTATTCTACGAGCTGAGTCCCTAAGCTATAAGTCAATAGGAAAATATCACAGAGGAAAATAGGACTCTTTACTTTTTGGGTAGCTGTGGTAATGTATGGCTGGAGGGATGGACTGATGTAGGAAGAAT